ACAATCCTCGACCCAGACTCGCCACACAAGACCCAAGAATAAAGCCACACCGTCCTACGAATCAAAAGCCGCTGACTACTCTCTCAAATATCCCCAAACGCACCACATTCGAAATACTTTCCCTAAAGAGACTTCCTGCGAATCTAGAGCCATTACCTTCACCTTCCAGATATTGATGTGTAGAATCCATAATGATATAGAAATACCACGAGTCTTGACACCCTGCAATGCAAACCTCGGTTTCTACCCAAATATACAACCTAAAAATCTCCAATTATTACATGTAAAATCTTGAACCCATTAGAACCATTCTCGAGAGTCATCCACTCTACTCAAACCGCAATTAGACCGATCAAACGGACCGGATGACCTGTGCTCCAATAGCACTCCGACACCGCAGAATGTAACCTCACCTTAATGCAACCAAGCAACTTCCTGTTCTATGCACCGTACATCCTTTACCAATAACAACTCAAGTTATTCCATGATTCTCATACACCCATAAAGAATAACATAACCTTTATTAAAATTTCCTCTACTTGAACCATCCTTGACCTCAACCTCCGTAAGCCATAACTGATTCATCAGTACGCCTCAAACTAGAACCATCATAGCACATAACCGTGCAATCAACTAATCAATAGCAGACTCCCCCACTTGGCTCAAAGCCATAGATCAAAACACACAATAACTCATAATACATATACTCTATTACTGTCATAATACTGTGGTGAGATTAAACTAAATCCTTTATAAGCTCGTGCAACACAAACCATCTAGTACTTCAAATCTTCTGCAAATCTCGTATTCACCCTCGTAACGGTTAATCCCACTCTTTTAAGCGATCCAAATTCAAATTGCAACACATATATTTCACCTGTAAGGAGGCCTTCCAACCAACAACATAGGGAGGTCACACAAACTTCAGAACACTCCGCAGGAGATAACCCACCTGCTTTGCCTCAAACTAACATCTCTTCATACCCTTCCACCGACATAAACATCACGAAATCGCTTAATCTTCTTGAGTCTGAACTCATATCACGACATGAAATCTACTTCATTCCCCAACTAAATAATATGGAAAGAACCTTCAATACACCCACAACTTGGGCCATGCATCAAATCACGATGGAAATCAAGCACCCAATCGTTCTTCCTACCCTCAAGTAGGCTCTTCTTGTCACATTCAAATTATATGAACACACCTCGCAGTCACATCATACTCATCACGTAGCTATCAGTCATTGCTTCCACTAATAGGGACACTATCGAACATATAAATCCAAAGCACGCGATCACACATTCTACATCTCAGTGCTCAAGCTACAAGCAGAGCCCGACCTCAAGTCCTCTAGATTGGCCCAACATCAACACACAGAAATCACATCTCGCCCCTTGATCAGGGAATCACAAGCCGTCGATGCACAGCTGATACCGAGCGCTCATGCGCGCATACGAACGCGTGGAAAGAATTCAAAGAGTTACATTTCAAGCTGAATCAAGGACGCACGATAAGAATTCAAGAATGTGAAGTTTTTCCTAAAGGTTCTGCAGCCTCCCGAGGATAAGTACAGACGTCTCCGTACTGATCCGCGAGACTCTACTAAACCTGCTCATGACTCGTGAGACCTATGTAACTTAGGCTCTGATACCAACTTATCACGACCCCAAATCCCATGATCGTGATGGCGCCAATCACAGAACTAGGCCAGCCGAAACAACACGAACAATACAGAAGATCTTTTGTAAACATTGTATTTTTCTAAAATAGATTAAACCTCAAATCTTTCATTTTAATATGTATCAACAGAAATACGCGAAATCAAGTATGTAAATACATAACCCAGCCCGAATCTGGTGTCACTAGTCATGAGCCACTAAATACAATTCAACATTGTCTACTTAATACAATATAAGCCTAAAATATAAAATAATAAGGATAGGGAGGGGAAGGCAGGGCTGCGAACGCCGTGCAGCTACCTTACTATCCCCAAGGAACCTGCCACCGAGCTCAGAAATATCTGGATCTGCACACAAGGTGCAGGGAGTAATGTGAGTACGCCAACCCAGTAAGTAATAAAAGTAAATAATGACTGAGCAATAGGAAATCACGTGAACGAACCACGTCATAGCACCACAATGGGTACAATATGTTTCCAAAATAGGATATAAATAAAATCATCTCGTTAAAACTCCGATTTCAGTCAAAATCCTTTGAAAAATGTCTTTCTAACAGTTCAGTAGAGGTTCAGCGTAGTTCATAGTGGAAGTGATAAAAAACAATCATAATCGACCTCTCGGGCAAAACGTAGTTCGTATACAGCCCCTCGGGCAAAACATAAAGCATATGCATCTCGAAACAGGAAAAGTGCCAGAGGAAATAACAAAGCCAAATTAGTGATTAAATTCCGAACATCTCATAAAAATTCCAGTTCAATGAAAATTATTCAAAACATTTGTTTAACAATTTCTATAGAGGCTCAGTATAAAGATGAGTGAAATCGGTAATTTAATTCAACATATTCAATATAGACTCACTTTGAGGAGAAGTGAAATCAGTAATTTCAAAAACAAGCCCCTCGGGCAAAGTATTACTCATATATTATAGCCCCTCGGGCAAGCCTCTCAGTCACTCGAGACTCAACTCTCATCAATCAGCGCTCACACTCAGCACTCATGCTCAATAGGTACCTTATAATAACCGCTGCGGCGTACAGCCCGATCCATATATATATAGTCGACTGCGCTCACTGGGGGTGTGCAGACTCCGGAGGGGCTCCTACAGCACAAGCACTGTATCGCTGCGGCGTGCAGCCCGATCCATAAATATATATAATATCGCTGCGGTGTGTAGCCCGATATATATATATA